GATTCAAAAGAACCAGGGGGGGGGAAGAAAAATCAGAGAACTTGAAAACAGGTCAAAAGAAAGAACCCAAATGAAACAGAGAGAACGGGGGCGGGGGCGGGGAGAGCATCCAAGAGCTATGAGGCAATACCCAAAAATCTAATGAAACGGTCATGGAATCCCAGGAGGAAAGAGAAAGAATAAGGCAAAGAAATACTTTAAAAGATAACAATCCAAAAATTTCCAAACTTCACAAACCACATCAAAGCACAGATCAAGCTCAGAGAGCCCCAAGCAGGACAAATACCAAGATTCTACCTAAACATACCATATTCCATATTCCAACTGCCAAAAACCTAAGATAAAGATAAAATTCTGAAGGCGGCCAGAAGGGGGGAAAGGAACAAAGATCAAGATTACAACAGACTTGGAGCACTTGGTGCCTCAGCCAGTTGAGTCTGCCTTTGGCTCAGCTCATGATCTCGGGGTCCTGGGACCAAGCCCCATGTTGGACTCCCTGCTCACGGAGAGTCTGCTTCTCCTTTTGCCCCTCATCCTTCTCATGTTCTCTCTCTCTCAAATTATTAAATAAAATCTTAAAAAAAAAAAAAAAAGATTATAACAGACTTCTCATCACAAACTATCCACGTGGGAAGACTAACTTTCCTAAATGAAAGAAAAAAGTCACAAAGAATACACACCTTGGAAAGGTATCTTTCAAAACTGAATGCTAGTTTTTCATAAACCAAAGCTCAAATAATTCACTGCTAAAACACCTGTGCTATAAGAAATGTTAGAAGAGGGACGCCTGGGTGGCTCAGTTGGTTAAGCGGCTGCCTTCGGCTCAGGTCATGATCCCAGCATCTTGGGATCAAGTCCCACATTGGGCTCCTCGCTTGGCGGGGAAGCCTGCTTCTCCCTCTGCCTCTGCCTGCCATTCTGCCTGCCTGTGCTTGCTCTCTCACTCTCTCTCTCTCGCAAATAAATAAATTAAATCTTAAAAAAAGAAAAAAGAAATGTTACAAGAATTCTTTCAGACATTAGGAATATGGTACTAGACAGAAATCTGTCTACACAAAGAAATAAAGAGTGCCCAAGATGGTAAAAATTAGAGTAACTGTAAGACATTATTTCCCAAATTTTTAAACTAAAAGGTAACTGATAATCTAAAGTGAAAAGATAAAAATGTAGGTTATTAACATATATAAAATTAGGTATATGACAGTAAGACAAAAAATGAGAGGAATTGGACATTTACTGTTTTGCATGGACTCTTACACTATACATGAAGTTGCACAATATTACTGGAAGGCAAAGTGGAAAAAATAAATGATACACACTGTAAACAAAAAGTCAAATATAAAATAATTTTTTTTAATTTGGACATTTTATTCATTTATTTAGAGAGAGCGAGCAAGGGGAGCAAGAGAATGGGCAAAGAGGGAGGGAGTCGGGGAGGGAGAGAATCCCAAGCAAACTCCATGCCAAGTGCGGAGCCCCATGCGGGCCTGATCCCATGACCCTGAGATCAAGACCCAAGTGGAAACCAAGAGAGAGATGCCCAACTGACTGAGCCACCCAGATGTCCCAAATATAAAATAAATTTTAAAAGAAATATACATAATAAGCCAATACTGAAGTTAAAAACAAAAACATAAAAATACTGAATTAATCCAAAAGCAGATAGAGAAAAGACAATAAAGAAGAGATGGAAGAAATAGAAAGCAACTAGCAAAATGACAGACTTAAATCCAATCATATGAATAATCACATTAATTATAGTCTAAAACACCAGTGAAAAGACAGGTCTTCGGACTGGTCAGAAAAGGAAGACCCATCTATATTGTGTCTACAAGAAACCCACTTTATTAAATATTAATAAAGAAATGCACTGAAAGTAAAAGGATATGGACAGATAACACCATGTCAACACTAAACAAAAGGAAGCTCCGGCAGCTGTATTAATAGGACGAAAACGAGACTTCAGAACAAACAATATTACCAAAAATAATGAGGTACTACATAACAGTAACAGGGTCGATTCATGAAGAGGTACCAATCATGGGTGAAGGGGATTAAGAGTACACTTAACCTGATGGGCACTGAGTAATACACGGAAGTGCTGAATCACTATATCGTACGCCTGAAACTAATATGATCCTCTATGTCAACTACACTGTTCTGTGCACCTGAGAACAGATCTTCAAAATACAGGAAATTAAAATTGGCAGAATAGAACGGAGACAGAAATCCACAAAATTCTGTGGAGACCCCAATGTCTCTCCCTCTGAGAAATCATTACAAGTAGATATAAAGTCAGTAAGGATACAGAAAACCTGAATACCACTATCAGCCAACTAGACTCAACTGACACAGAAGGAGCACTCCGTACAGTAACACCGTCATGTTAACTTCCAGTACGCACAGAACACTGCCCATGGGGGTGCCTGGGTGGCTCAGTGGGTTAAGCCTCTGCCTTTGGCTCAGGTCATGATCTCAGGGTCCTGGGATGGAGCCCCGCATCGGGCTCTCTGCTCAGTAGGGAGTCTGCCTCCCCCTCTCTCTCTGCCAGCCTCTCTGCCTACTTGTGATCTCTGTCTGTCAAATAAATAAAATAAAATCTTAAAAAACAAACAAAAACAAAACAAAACAAAAACAAAAAACACTGCCCATGACAGGCCGTATTCTAGACCATAAAACAAAACATGCAAGCTAAAATGAACTGAAATTTCAAAGGATGTCTTCTGACCACAAAAGAATTCAACTAAAAATCAAATATAGAAAGATATCTGGAAAATCTCCAAATATTGAGAAACTAACATATTTCTCAATAACCAAGGCTCATGGGGCGCCTGGGTGGCTCAGTGGGTTAAAGCCTCTGCCTTCAGCTCGGGTCATGGGACCTGGGATCGAGCCCCACATCAGGCTCTCTGTTCCATAGGGAGCCTGCTTCCTCCTCTCTCTCTCTCTGCCTACCTCTCTGCCTACTTGTGATCTCTATGTCAAATAAATAAATAAAATCTTAAAAAAAAAAAAAAATAACCATGGCTCAGGGGTGCTTGGGTGGCTCAGGGTTAAGCCTCTGCCTTCGGCTCAGGTCATGATCTCAGGGTCCTGGAATTGAGCCCCACATCAGGCTCTCTGCTCAGCAGGGAGCCTGCTTCCCCCTCTCTCTCTGCCTACTTGTGATCTCTCTCTCTGTCAAATAAATAAATAAAAATCTTTAAAAATAAAATAAAATAAAATAACCATGGCTCAAAAGGAATTCAGAAGGGAAACTTGGAAATATTTTGAACTGAGTAAGAATTATAACACTCCAAAATCTGTGGGGCACATATAAAACCACGATTAGAGGGAAATTTGTAACATTTTAAGTGGTTGCCAGAGGTAGGAGGTAGAGGGTGGGCAAAATGGGTGAAGGTAGACAAAAGGTACAAATTTCCAGTTGTAAAAAATTTTTTAGTCAGTCCTGGGGATGAAATGTATGGCATGGCAACTACAGTTAATAACACTGTATTGTATACTTGAAAATTGTTGAGAGTAGATCTCAAAAATTCTCATCACAAGGAACAAATCTGTAATTATGGGGCGCCTGGGTGGCTCAGTGGGTTAATCCTCTGCCTTCGGCTCAGGTCATGATCTCAGGGTCCTGGGATCGAGCCCCGCATCGGGCTCTCTGCTTGGCGGGGAGCCTGCTTACCCCTCTCTCTCTGCCTGGCTCTCTTCCTACTTGTGATCTGTGTGTCAAATAAATAAAAAAATTTGTAATTATGTGTGTTGAAAATGTTAATTAGACATATTGTGGTAGTTACCTAACTGACACAAAATATTATATTAGTTTAAGGCATACAACATAATGACTTCCTATTTTGTGTCTTGTTAGGAAAAGAAGAAATGTTTCAAATCAATGATCTAAGCTGCCACCTTATATAAACCAGAAAATAAGCAAATCAACTCAAAGCAGGCAGCAGGAAGGAATATTAAATATGAGCAGAAATTGAAAATGGAAAAATAGGGGGAAAAATCTATGAAACCAAAAGCTGGATCTTTAAAAACATCAGTAATCGATAAACCTCTATCCAGACTCATCAAGAAAAAAGAGACACAAATTACCAATATAATAATGAAAGAGGGGCATAAAACAGATCCTACTGACATTAAAAGAATCAGGTTTAAGAGTTCAATTTTATCTCCATCCATTTGACAACTTAGAGGAAATGTGCCAATTCCTGAAAGATACAAACTACCAAAGCTTACTTAAAACGAAATAGATAACCTGACTAGTTCTACATCTCTTAAAGAAATTTAATTCCTAATAAGAAACCTGACCAAGAAAATTCCAGGCCCAGATGGGTTCCGCGACCAAGTCTATCCAACGTTAAAGAAGGAAACATCAATTCTACACAAACTATGCCAGAAAACAGAACAGGAGGGAACATTTCCCAATTCATTTTATGATGCTGCATGACCTCAATTCTAAAATCAAAGGCATCACAAGAAAACTATAGACCAATATCCCACATAAACATAAATGAAAAAATCTTCAACCAAATAGTAGGCAAATGTGATCCAGCAACATGTAAAAGCAGCAAACCTCTTTTAAAAGATTTAATCCATGGTTTAATCCTGACCTAGAATTACTCCCAAAGACAAAAAGTTGTACCTGATTCCATTCCAAATTCAGTCTCGATGTAAACATAGAATTTTACATATCTGACTTTGTTACAAAGCTACTGTCAAAGTAAAGGCAGAGCAGATAGTTTAATTTAGGAAATTAGGCAGATTATATAATAGTTGAGACTTTATAGAAGAACCTTTAAATTAAAAGTTATCTACAGTTTCATGAACACACACTCAACTAAAGGGTAATGAACCTACATCTTTTTCTGAATTTAGAAACCAAGGAGAAAGTGACTAGCTTATGCTAAAGAACTCAATTCAGTTTACTCAAAGTTTTTAAGATTATGACCCAAAGCATAATCCCTAATCTGCTTTCTCAGCAGCTTGGCTTAACTACTTACCTTCAACCTGGCTAGTATCTGAGCATGGTTTCTTCTTTGATTCTGAATTCCCGGTTTTCTCATCAACATCCAGGAGAGGAATATAGTCTGTTTTTCCAACAGTTTCTCCCACAACATCATCAAAGGCCTCTGCCTCCAGCGTGGCAATAAAGTCCCGTTTTATCTCTTCCTCAATTTCTGGAGGTGGCTCTGTTAATGCATCTGCAAGACTGAGGTCAGCCATTTTGCACCACTGCAACTGCCTGGTTAAGGGGGAAAAAATATTTCATAAGATGAGCACTGTGCAAAGGGAAACACATTCCTAAAAATTCTTCTCAGTTGTTCTAAACAAAAAAAGAAATAAAATCTAAAACTTGAGAGCTAGAAGAGGCTCCCTCATTTCACAGATTAGAAAATTAAAGCTCAGTTGACAGTCTTACCCGAAGTAAACACTCTCTATCTCACATCTCTCAGAAGTAAACAGAGCAAAAGCCATTTTGTCCTTTCCATTAATAAAATTGTCAAGAAAAAAAAAAAACCAATTTATCCAAAGTTACAGCCAGTAAGACTCATATCAGGTCTTTTGATTTCAAGTCTTATAAACTTATCAACTATCTCTTCCATTTTCGTTTCTAAATCACATCCCAGAATATTTCTTAAAAGAATATACAAAAGGAGGTCAGATTACATTATATTCCCATTTAAAAAAAGGTTACATTACTATCAGGAGAACGAAGTCAACTTTCTTGACAAAAGACTTATTTTGTTGAGGTTAAATAATGCTTCTTCATGAATTTCTTGTGGATAGCTCCGTTAACCAAACTATACCTAGCCTTGTTGGCATGAAAAATACGGACATGTTCCCTGATTAGCTAGGGGTGGCAGCCTCTCTGCGTGGTCATGCGCTCACCATCTTTTCAGAACATGAGGCTCTCCAATTTTAAACACAACCTGAAGTTAAGAAGTATAGCCTACTACAGGCAAAACTGCAGGTGACTAGCCCAGAAATACAGGAATAGTGTAGTAAAAATGCCAAAGGGCCTGCAATAAATTGAGCTCCCGATACATATATAGCACAGTGGGCAATAAAAAAAGTATTCTGGGTACCGTGTCTGCTTTCAAAAGGTCTAACTTAATAGAGACTCCAAGAGACTCAGAAAGGTAAGTGAACATAGGAGCGTTCTTGAGCAGGCAAAGGTAAATCAAACAGAAATCCTCAGCTGCGTAGGGGCACATGGGTGGCTCAATCAGTGAGTCTCTGTCCCACTCTTGATTTTGCTTCAGCTTGTGATCTTGGGGTCCTGGGAGCCCCGAGTTGGATCGGCTTGGGGGGTCTCTCACTCTCTCTGCTGCTCCCCCCCCACCCCGCATGTACAGCAGCGGGCACATGCACGCTCTCTCTCTCTCATGAATAAATCGATCTTTAAAAAAAAAAAAAAAAAGATTTTATTTATGTATTTGACAGAGATCACATGTAGGCAGAGAGGCAGGTGCGGGGGGCGGGGGGGGGGGGAGGTGAAGCAGGCTTACTGCTGAGCAGGGAGCCCGATGCAGGGCTAGATCCCAGGACCCTGAGATCATGACTTGAGCCAAAGGCAGAGGCTTAACCCATTGAGCCACCCAGGTGCTCCTAAATCAATTAAAAAAAAAAAAAAAAAAAACTAAACTAAAAAAGAACGAAAGAAATTCTTAGCTGCATAGTATGATAGATACTGCTTCTGTTTGCCTAGAAATTCATTCTTCCTTATCTCTCCCGATATTCACTAACAGACACCCCAGTGGTGTTGGACACATGACCAGGAAGAAGATTGTTGGAAAAGGAGTATCTCATAATGGAAGACGCACCACGCGGCAGGTGTTCAGTTGCCCTGGTTGTCTTCTTTCTCGAGTCTAAGTGAGCAACCTTCCATCTTTCTTTCTCCTAATTTAGTAAATCTTCTGCTTGCAAGCAAAGAATCTCAACTAATACACAGTCTTTCCTCAACCCAAATTTTTAAAAGCCAGAATCTACTATGATTTGAGCCATGTTTAAAGGCTCTCCTTTAAAACTGTCCTCCACTGTCTACCTCTCTCCAGCTAAATTTATTAAGGAAAAAGAAATACCAAGGAGTACAGTGATTCTATCTTCAACTTTGTCTGCACACACCAGTTCCTATCATAGTCATCAGTATGGAGCAGCACACATACAACACATGAATATGGATGGGCACTCCTACTCTATATGCCACCCAGGCCACTTTACATGTAAAGTATGATTGTCTCTCCAGATCCTGCCAGGAAAAAATGCTGAAAAATGACTCATGAAAGAACTTTTTAAAAGCCTGACAAATTTAATGTCAATAAGTTCTATAAAAAGTAACTGCTTTTCCCTTTTTTATGATAACTATTATTACCAGTTAGCATTTGAAACCTATTATGAACCAAAAATAATAAAGGATGTCTATAATTAAACAGTTTCAAGGTCAAAGAACATTTGAAAGGGTATCTGTACCATCCCTAACAGTAGCTCTATTTTTTCCATAATACATACCTAGGACACCTATTCCATGTAATCCACTCAAACTCCCTAATTTAGGACACAGGTGAAAGTGCAGACAGAACCAACAATATCTTTCCAATCTCAATTACCCGAGTGCATATTCTCAAAGGGCAGCTCTTTATCCACCGTCATCTTTCCCTCTTTACCCCCACCCCAACCTCCCAAACCACTTCCTGGGCTGACATGCGGTTCATGGACTATGAATAGCAGCTTAAATTCAGCCTAAGAAGGTAAAACTGATAGAAAATTAGACAGCTGGAAAGCAGGAAGGTCATTTGGCTCAGAGTGCATCTAGCCAACCACCCAGAAACTATTATCTCAACACAGCTTAGATCTTCCTTTCTTGTCACTACATATAAATAGAAGTATGATTTACACACACATACACACACACACACACACACACACACAATTTACTTATGGAAAATGAAGTACTGGCTTTTATCCAGGAAGCCCCAGTTTTCAATAAATTAAACAGATGATTCAATTTTATAGTTATTCTATTCTAAAATATATACAAGTATAATAAATTAAGTAAGTGTTCAACAGGTTTGTTAAACCGGTTTTGCCAGTGTTTGGAATTGATTTTAATGAATTCATGGGTGAATTTCATCCCACACTCACAGAACCATTTAAGGTCACTTAATATTCAGTTATGCCTTAAAATGTTGAGTTATGTAATTTATGGACATAAGCATATGGCACAATGTTACTCTCAAATCTGGATATTCAGGAAGATCCAAAAATGTACCCTTGTGAATGAGGACTACCTACTAAAAAGAAATGATCTCTTCTTGACTATTTACACTATACCTTTTTTTTTTCCCAATAAAAATAAGCATTTATTATCCTCCATTACAGGAGTCCCAGAAGAAGGCAATATCATGGCTGATCAATTCAGTAACTCAATGACTTTCAAGGACCCAGGTTCTTTTCATCTTTTTTTAAAATTTTTTAATTTTTTATTAACATATAATGTATTATTAGCCCCAGGGGTACAGGTCTGTGAATCGCCAGGTTTACACACTTCACAGCACTCACCATAGCACACACCCTCCCCAATGTCCATAACCCAACCACCCTCTCCCTCCCCCCAGCAACCCTCAGTTTGTTTTGTGAGCCTAAGAGTCTCTTATGGTTTGTCTCCCTCCCCATCCTATCTTGTTTCATTTATTCCTTACCCCCCCCAAGCCCCCCACGTTGCATCTCCACTTCCTTGTATCAGGGAGATCATATGATAGTTGTCTTTCTCTGACTGACTTATTTCGCTAAGCATAATACTCTCTAGTTCCATCCACGTTGTGGCATCTACTATACCTTTCTTATCTGTATAAAAGTTTTACCTTTAAAAGGCTTTGTTTCTGGGAGGCAAAAAAAAAAAAAAAAAAAGCTAGGTACAGAAGTTTCTATGCCTCACTGAGGCACCAGTTTAATCTAAAGCTTCCCGTGAGTCACGTTCAGGGGCTGAGTTCCCTAATCTGTAAAATGAGAGTGGTATGTTAAATGATTCCTGAGGCTGATTATTCTATAAGCTGCTTATAATTTAGATTCATCACTTAAATTAGAAATAAACTGCACATAGATCTTCAATGTGCATGCCTGACTTTTATATGTCAAGTACTCCCAATTATAACTGGGTGCAGATTTATTAAAAGGCAAAAGCTTTTTGGCAAAGGGAGAGACTAAAAACAAACTCATCACTGCACAGTGCCCTGCTTGAGCAAATCTGACTGGAGCTTAAGAAACTCCACCCAGTTCTGGCTAACATCAAAGGAGACTTGACACCACTCTGCCAAAAAATAAGCCCCATATTATTTAACCAGGCACCGAGAGAACACACAGTTTTCAAGCATAGCACTTTGGACATCTGATCTTTCATTCTGACTACATGCCTGAAGTGAAACTATCTGTCGAGAAGAGTTTTGAAAATATGTGAACGAAGACAAGAAATAATGACATGACAAGATGATGAAGCACAGAACAGAATTTTGGGCTCTTGACTAGCCTCTGACTATTAATAGCCATGTACTCATGCGGAGTAAATAAGATATGATGAGCTCACAAAGCATCTCCTCTGTTGTATGGTTTACTTTAGATTACACACTCTGGAATTAGTTACTGAATGATTTTCTAGGTCTATAGAGACTGGTGTTCACAATTTATTTAAATACACAGAAGTATGGGCAACTTCTCAAGGTCCCAAAATTCCTCTTGAAAATATTAAGTCAGAGGTGCCTGGGTGGCTCAGCCGTTAGGCATCTGCCTTTGGCTCAGGTCATGATCCTGGGGTACTAGGATCAAGCCCTGCATCGGGCTCCCTGCTCAGTGAGAAGCCTGGTTCTCCCTCTCCCACTCCCCCTGCTTGTGTTCCCTCTCTCGCTGTGTCTCCCTCTGTCAAATAAATAAATAAAATCTTTTTTTTTAAGATTTTATTTATTTATCTGAGAGAGAGACAGTGAGAGAGAAGGTCAGAGGGAGAAGCAGACTCCCCATGGAGCTGGGAGCCCGATGTGGGACTCGATCCCGGAACTCCTGGATCATGACCTGAGCCAAAGGCAGTCGTATCTCTCTCTCTCTCTCTCTTTTTTTTTTTTTTTTAATAAATAAAATCTTTAAAAACAAACAAACAAACAAACAAAAAAACAGAAAATGTTAGGTCAGTCTTACCTACAGTCAGTCACTCACTCCAGATCTGTGCTGATTGTGTCTGATGAGAAATTACCA